TCATCATGAGTTAGAGATGGGCGGGGCTGACTGAACACTTCTAAAGTGAACTAGTTCCCGTGGTTGAACGAGATTTCAATAGTTATTTACGGATATAGGGCGTAAAGTGGCTATCCAACTAACAATTATCACTCCTATTAGAGTTGCAAGAATGATTATACAGTATTCCTTAAACAGCATTGTATACTATAAGAACATTGGCAAAACCCTCTTAGAACAGCTATACAAGCGGAATGGGCACACCTAATAGGACACTTCAATCATTTAAGAGGTTAAATAAGGGCTGCAGGTAACAGAAGTGTAAGCCTCTTGCAGCCGCTGTAGAACATTTGCGACAGTGCAAGATTCAGTTTTTGTCAACTATACAACTATTCTGTTACGTGATTATACTTTATTGCAACCAAACTATTTCTTATGTATTGCATAGACGAAGTGAAGAATATATATAACTAACACAATACAGTCATCTTGTTTACTTACATATCGGCCATTGTGAATTTCATACACAGGTATATGATAAACTTCTATACTATGATATAGGGCTATTGAATTACTTGCGCAGCAAATTTTATTGTGATTATCGTGCAAAGTAGTTACGCAAATTCTACGGGATTCGTATTTGATTCATATTTTGATAAAGATCAAAAGTATGTCTAGATTTTTAAGATGGAAAATTGAACTTATCTGCGTTAAATCTTCCACAAATCCTATATTTAGACACAATTACACTAATGTTTATCACTTTATATCTGTAATTTCGAACTGAAACATAATTATTTAATACCAAATAGAGGAATAAATGTTTGCCCAATATGGCGGATGGTTGTGTATAATCATGGCATCGTCCATGTTGTCTTTAGGTTATTAGAATATTTTGGTGTTGCCTGCAGATGTTATACAACAATTTGACAAATGTCTGAAATGAAATACCGACAGAGTCGAATGATTCACCCAGAATTTGTACCAGATCTATATCTTCTGTTTGAACAGTTGATAAAACATTTTGAACCAATATGCATGCGTTGTTTGTCTTAAAACATTGATTATGGCATTTTAACTAAAATATGACAGCAGAAAGTTAGGTTATGGTGAAGTTGTATACCAACATATTTAGCAGTTACTAAACAACAGTTGTATAAGTGCTTCCGTTGGAGCAATTTGTTGGCTAAAGTAGTAAATTTGCACAGCAAAACAACAAGGATCGGGTTTGTTCTATAAACGTTACCATGGATGCCACAACACAACCATGTTGACTAACCTGCAAATATGCCGTATAAAATAGTTGTATAAACGTTTATGCATCAGTGATTAAAATAGTAAAAGATTAAACATTTTAAAAAATGAGAGTGTTATTACACAGATTTTTTGATATTCTCGTCCACTGACGTGTAAAATCTTAGCGTTTTTTTGTTTACTACTCTTGTATGGTTTTCAGTAAGAGTCTTTGGTTCGATCAGTTGTAGTTTTTGATTATTTTGTGCGAAAAAATGGCTATTGTTTACGAAAACAATGAACTACAGGGCATAATACTAAAATACGGAGAGTGCCAACAAAATGCAGGCCATATTTACACGAAATGGAGCGCACAATTTCCACAACAATCGTGTTTGGGCAGTAAAAAATTCGCATACTGTAAAAAGAGCTCATTTTGACTTTTTTTAAATGTTTGGGCTGGCGTGGTAAGTTTCATGCTTGTTGGACCCTACTTTTTCCCACCTCGACTGACCGGTGACATTTATTTAGAATTTCTTCGACAAAATCTGTCACAATTATTAGAGATGTTCCTCTAAATGTGAGACAGAATATATAGTTTTTACATGATGGGGCTCCTAGATGGATAGGGTGCAATGCACCCATTTCTGGGCCTGCTCATTTTTAGCTACATGACGTTGAATATTTATAAAATATAATGATAAAAGCTATTAAAATATACGGGGCGTTAACAATTTTGTTTTATTTCAAAAACCTACATCTAAAAAACAGAAATATAAAAGTATTAAGTACCTAACCAACGGTTTACTAATTTGATAAAACGGCTACACTTTTTTTTAGAAAGAAACTTAACAATAAAAAAACATAATAGATGAGTCATATTATACAGGGTGTTTCAGTTTATTGTTGCATAACTTTAAGATTCGATAGAACTTTTAAAATTAATGCATAAAGTCTATATAAACATGGGTCGAAAAATGCGTGGCTTCCGAAATACAGGGTGTTTAAATTTACTATCTAAAATAGTTTTTTTTAAATATTTCGAACAATATTTGATGCATAACAGTGAAAATTGGTATACAAGGGTTTCTTGGTACAACAAAACGAATCATGGGCATAGTTTTACTGTAGCCGCTATAGGGCGCTCTCTACTGTACCTGTAGTGTATTAAAATGACCGAAAATTTTTTCTTAGTGCAATTTTTTGCTTTTTGAATAAAAAAACTGATTCTTCGCACTTTTCAACATAAAAAAGCTCTCCTGTGAGTTTTCGTTATAGTTAGCCGTTTTTGAGATATTTCGATCTTTAAGGTTCGATGCATTTTTAATTATTTATGGGAAAATAATATTTCTTTTTACATTTTCGATTTAGGCATTACAAGTAATTAAGATGATCGTTTAGATTGTGTTTTTAAACACAGCAATAATTCCTAACTGCAAATAAACACAAAAAAAAAACAGAAAATTAATTTGTTTAATTTTCCAATAATATTTTTAACAAATTAAATTAATTATTTACAACTAAAATGCTATTGGATAGTTAAGACAAACATACAAAATCTAAAGTAGTTGCTCGAAATGTAAACCCAATTGTTCAATACACAATTCACATCTACGAATGGTCGAACGTGGCCTTATTTCATCACTCGCATTCCTGATTCTGTCTATTAGCATATCTCTTGTGGTTACGGGAGTCTGGTACACTTTTTCTTTTAGAAATCCCCACACAAAGAAATGTAATGGATTTAGGTCAGGGAATCGTGGAAGCCAGGCGACTGGTCCTCCACGGCCGATCCATCTTTCTGGATAATTTTCGTCCAGCCAGTTTCTAACTATTCTCGAATAATGAGCTGGACAACCATCAAGTTGGAACCAGGCCAATCTTCTTAGATCTAACATAACATCATCCCACATATTTGCATGTTCAGCCTTTAAAAATTCCAAGAAGGTCGCAGCATTTAACCTTGCAAGCAAAAGTTAGGGTCCAAATAGTCGATTACGGTAGATACCAATCCACACGTTCACACTAAATTCCTGCTGAAAATTTCTTTCCCGAACTGCATGCGGATTTTCATGCGACCAAATATGTTGATTATGAAAATTTACCACTCCACGTCTAGTGAAGCATGACTCATCGGTCCATAAAACGTTACTTAAAAACACCCTATTATTATCAGTTCTATCAAGAATCCACTGACAAAATGTGATTCTTCTCCGTCCCCTGGCTGTAGTCCTTGCACAGGTTGCAAATGGTAAGGACGTCTATCGTCATTTCTAAGAACACGGTGAACATGGCTTGCTGAAATTCCCAAGGCACCAGAAACTCTCCTAACACTTGTGGTCGGATCTCTATCAAACTCACGCAGAATCATACGGGCAAATCTGCGCTGACGAACATTTATGTTTTGATCCCTTTGGAGATTTCCAAAACTATTTTCAATTATTTGGCGATGCACTCTTACAAATACTGAGCGAGTTGGATGTCGTCTGTTTGGAAATCTACTGCGTTTTCATTTTCAAAGCCATACACAAAATGAATATCCGCTAACTCTTGATTGGAGAATAAAAATGGCATTTTTATAAAACTTTCAAAAAGAAACAGGTAAAAGAAACTAAATTTCGTGCATTCACAATTGCAAAAAAACGTTTCAGGTTTCAACAGACAACAAAACTAATTGTCAATTAATTGATGTTTAACCTTATTCTGCTTTCAATTTCAAAAATATTTGCAGGCACAGCCTACTTCTAAAAATTATCGGGATACTGACTTTTTAACGTTATTTTCCCATAAATAATTTAAAATGCGTCGAACCTTAAAAATCGAAATATCTCAAAAACGGCTAACTATAACGAAAATTCACAAGAGAGCTTTTTTATGTTGCAAAGTGCGAAGAATCAGTTTTTTTATTCAAAAAGCAAAAAGTTGCACTAAGAAAAAATCTTCGGTCATTTTAATACACTACAGGTACAGTAGAGAGCGCCCTCTAGCGGCTACAGTAAAACTATGCCCATGGTTCGTTTTGTCGAACCAAAAAACCCTTGTATACCAATGTTCACTGTTATACATCAAATATTGTTCGAAATATTTAAAAAAAACAATTTTAGAAAGTAAATTTAAACACCCTGTATTTCGGAAGCCACGCATTTTTCGACCCATGTTTATATAGACTTTATGCATTAATTTTAAAAGTTCTATCGAATCTTAAAGTTATGCAACAATAAACTGAAACACCCTGTATATTATAAAATCGATAAAAGATTTTTTCTAAATATCAACATGACTATATGTAAGTGTAATGTTTTATCTGTTTTCTATATCTCTGTGAACTAGTTCTTTTCCCTTTTCAAGTAAGAATTTTTTATTTCCTTTTTAGATTTTGGTAACGAAGATATTTTTTATTTCATCATTTTATTAATTTTGTTCCTAATCTAATAAGTATATTGTATCGGTAATTGATACACCAATCCATATACTGAACTGAACGAAAACAATTGCCGAAGATCTAGAGTTTCTGCATCTCTATACGGATAAAGTCTGTTTTTATCATTAGTTATTTTTGAAAACTGTTTTTTCCATTCCTCAAGTTTTGCTAAGTGGACGATTACAGCTCCACCCCAAGCTAATAAACCATACGCATCTGCTTTTAATGAAACGTTTTCAGTAAGACAAGCATGTGGGAAAAATGGATTTAATTGCAGATTCAATTTGAATCTACTATATTTCCCGCCGCCCTTCGCACAATCCGCTATTTATTAATGAAACATGACCTATGGCAATGCGCTGGTGCGCGGGCCGTAGCGCCGACGCTATGGCGTCGCAGCGCCGCGCCACTCTGACGTCACGATCAATAGCAACCGACACGAAAAATCCGATCCGATATATCGCACTCACACAACATCACTCGGCCCCAAGTTTTATTATTCCGTTATAGTTCTACACAAACATGTAAGTCTAACTCTCATGTTATGCTTGTCTTCGCTCTCAATGCTTTTTACTCGCTATCAACCACTGAACTTTGCGACCTTTAATATGCACCCATCTTTAAATGTTCCTCGCTTGTGAAAAAATCTACATTCCTTTAAGCATACATCTGCACCCGCTTAATGTACCCTTCTTATATTCCTTTTAGATTTTTTGCTGTACATTTTGCGTAATAGAGTTACACCCTTGCCAAAATGACAGGAAAAATTAAATAACAAATCCTCATCAACCGAAAATATCCAGAAATGCATTATAAAAAAGCGCGTAGTATAAATATTTGTGTATCACAAGTTAAGAATATAATGTTTATTTTCTTAGTAAAGTTTCATTATCTACACGTCTTTAATCTATTGGTATCGACTTCCGTGCCTAGATTATACTGCAAAACTATGTGTAAGATGTGGGTGTATATGTGGGATCGATAAACTGGCCTGTCATTTTTTTATGGGAAAAATATTGGAAAGGAAATTGGTGGTTCCCGTTTTACCAAGAATTTAGATACTTGTTTGTCGTTAAGTAGGTGTTGAAAATTGATTTTTATGGCAAAGATGATACGCAGGCGCAGCAATACCTGCATATAGATAAATAGAGCAAGCATATAATGAATATTCTATCACACCTAAGATATTGTAAAATTAATTGCATCGTATGTTGTGGAATTTGACGCACAACATCTCTACCGCCTTTATAGATGGGTACAAATCGCCGGGTGATTTACCTTTCAACCTACTTTTCGGAGTATCTCGTCTATGTATTTTGGAGTTTCTCATTTCGGCATACATATACGCGTATATGCTAAGTGTCCAGCTTATCAATTTTTGTCAGAATATAAACTTACTCTGTAGCTGTTCGAAGTTTGATGTACATTATATCCATGAATGCTATTAGGCGCATTCAGTGTTACTTGTATTCAAAGAAAATGTCTATCCATCGTGAGAATCAACTATGCTTTAATTAACACTAAAATAAGATACGGTATGAGGGAAAAAGGCATGTCTACAAACTCGGAAGCGAGAATTCCCGATTCGGTTCATGATGAACCATATACATGAGGCTACTTAAAATAGGAAGGTATCACCCATTAGTGATATTTTATCGATTTGTCATTCTTTAAAGCAACATCGTTTCCTGTTTCTTCTCAATATTTCATTAAACATATTTTACATATTTAATTAAAATTTCAGTAGGTATTGAACAACTCAGTTGAATAGTGCACTCTTATACTTTAAGAGCATGTATACTAAGTGACATATAAATCCGAACACCCAGTTTAAATGGTTTTATTTTAATAAAAGTTGGTGAATGTATTTATCTTACTGTAAATAACAAGTGAAAAAATTTTCAGCCTTATCAGTTGGACATTCCGGTTTTTATACTGCTTTTTTTTAATTCACCAACGCTCTAAAAATGAATATTTCAGCCGCAGTAAAGAATCAACGTTGGCGGATTTTGGTTCTTGACATCCTTTACGATCGGTTACAATGCCTAGAGTACGGAGACCTGTACGATTTCGTCAACTTAGTGAGTTTGATAGGGGCCGTATAGTGGGACTTCGGGAAGCTGGACTTTCTTTTCGGGCAATTGCAGTTAGAGTGCAAAGAAGTGTAGACACTGTGGTTAGGTGTTGTCAGGCATGGCTTCGAGAAGGCCGTACGCAAAGAGCAAGTGGCACTGGACGCCGCCGAAGAACAACAGACCGTGAAGATCGCCGCCTAAGATTATTGGCCTTAAGGGACCGTTTCTCCACTACCAGGTCCAATGCAAATGAATGGTTTGCAGAACACGGAAGACCTATTGGCATGCGAAGTGTTTACCGACGAATGAGAAGTTTTGGCTTGTTTTCATACCGGCCACACTGGGTCCTCCCTTTAACTCGAGAACACCGACGTAATCGCCTTGAGTGGTGCAGACAACGGTCACTCTGGGATCAGGAATGGAACAGTATTGTCTTTAGTGACGTGTCTCGATTTTGTTTAGGCATGCACGATGGTCGTGCCAGGGTTAGAAGGCGACGTGGTGAAAGGAGGAATCCACAGTTTTTTGTTGAAAGACATGTTCATCACACTGTTGGAGTTATGGTTTGGGGTGCTATAGCTTATGGTTCCAGGTCACCTTTAATCTTCGTCAGAGGTAACATGAAGTTCTAGAACCCCATCTTTGACCCTATCTTGACACCCTGGCAGATCCAACTTTCCAACAAGATAATGCCCGACCACATGTTGCAAGAGTTACAATAGACTTCTTTCAACATAATGATGTCACATTGTTACCATGGCCACCAAGATCTCCCGACTTATCCCCAATTGAGCACGTGTGGGATATGATGGGTAGGAGATTGCTCAATTTGCAACGTCCTCCTCAGACTCTAGAAGCACTTTGAGAGGAGTTGGTGGTTGCCTGGAATGAGATACCACAGGAGGACATTGACCACCTGATCAGAAGCATGCCTAGGCGCGTTGGAGAATGCGTAGCACATCAGGGTGCATCCACACATTATTACAGGTCAAAGGGCTTTAAAGCAGTGCAACCATTTTGAAATTTTTATCATTTACTTATTATGCTTCATTAAGTACTACAAAATTTTATTAAAATAAAACCATTTAAACTGGGTGTTCAGATTTATATGTCACTTAGTATATTTTATCGATTTGTCATTCTTTAAGGCAACATCGTTTCCTGTTTCTTCTCAATATTTCATTGAACATATTTTACATATTTAATTAAAATTTTAGTACGTATTGACCAACTCAGTTGAATAGTGCACTTTTATCCTGTAAGAGCATGTATTTTCCTTCGTCTTGTGATGTCTCCCGCTCAAAAATCTCACACATTTGCGTCATATCGATCTGCAGATATTTTGCGGCCGCTTAATCTTGGTGACCTTTGCACCGAATTTATTGGAATTTGAAGCAGACACTGGACACCGGTTATCTAACTCTTGCTGATCGAATTCTATAAAGTTCTGTAAGAATATAAATAATGCATTGTTATATGTATTATTTATATTCTTACTTGTGTATACGCCTGCATACAACGACGAATAAAAAAGGATAATGGATAGCCGTTTTAGTCATTTGCTAAAATGAAAAGTTTACAGCAACTACAAAGTTATAATTTGGACACAAAAAACAATTGCACTTGTTTTTTATTTGTAGTATTTCGCAATGACAAAAGTTGAAATTATTCGTTTTTAGTAAAAAGGACCTACAAACGTTATACTACTTTTGAAAGAGCATTAAACAGCTAGTTCTTGAGGTCATTTACTGATTCAGTCTGGTAAAAGAAACTAAATTTCATGCATTCACAGTTGCAAAAAAACGTTTCAGGTTTCAACAGACAACAAAACTAACTGTCAACTAATTGACGTTTAACCTTATTCTGCTTTCAATTTCAAAAATATTTGCAGGCACAGCCTACTTCTAAAAATTATAGAGATACTGACTTTTTAACGTTATTTTATCATAAATAATTAAAAATGTATCGAACCTTAAAAATCGAAATATCTCAAAAATGGCTAACTATAACGAAAACTCACAGGAGAGCTTTTTATGTTGAAAAGTGCGAAGAATCAGTATTTTTATTCAAAAAGCAAAAAATTGCACGAAGAAAAAATTTTTGGTCATTTTAATATACTACAGGTACAGTAGAGAGCGCCCTCTAGCGGCTACAATAAAACTATGCCCTTGATTCGTTTTGTCGTACCAAAAAACCCGTGTATACCAATTTTCACTGTTATACATCAAATATTGTTCGAAATATTTAAAAAAACTAGTTTAGAAAGTAAATTTAAGCACCCTGTATTTGGGAAGCCACGCATTTTTCGACCCATGTTTATATAGACTTTATGCATTAATTTTAAGAGTTCTATCGAATCTTAAAGTTATGCAACAATAAACTGAAACACCCTGTATACTACAAATATCTATAATAAATATTTTATGAATATATAAGAAATATATTTATTGAATATTAAAAACTCTGTCGCTACAAATATTAAACATACATTTTTCAAAATATTTAATAAATATTTAATGCTATCGGGGACGCCAGTAGGCGTGGGAAGTAAAACAGATTATTTAATTTTTGACGCAATTTTGGGCCTGCGCAACATGCAGATTCGTTAAAAAAGGGCAGATGCAAAGATATATCTTTTATTGTCCAGAGTCACTCCATCTACCGCGTTTTGGAAACACCATACTCGTATAGACACAGTTGGTCCATTCTGAACCTGTACGATGATTTAATAGGTCAGCGGGGGATTCCCTGGCGCCGGGCGCACCAGGCGCACCAGCAGCCGGTGCCACCGGAGAGGATGGAGGCATCGTGGGGGGACCCAGAACGCCCCAACAAATCGCCGCTCAACGAAGGTTGCAACAGACACAAGCCCAGGTGGACGAAGTGGTAGACATTATGAAGACGAACGTAGAAAAGGTGCTCGAGAGGGACCAGAAGCTTTCCGAGCTAGATGATCGAGCTGGTGAGTCTAATCACTGTAGTCCGGTACCGAAACGGAAGAAACACATCGTACGGCACTGTTAACGTTCACTGTAACGCACGATGTGTTATGATATTCTCTTCCGTTTTGGTACCCAAGTCCAACTCATTCTTCAGCTTTACCTGATTTCCAGTGGTGTGTAGGGTTCGGGTGGGGAGCTGGTTGGACCTGTTTGACTGACTTTTTCTCAGAGGGTCTGTTTTTTGCTGAGCTTAATCCTTTATGAACTGATTTATAATAAAAAATAATCCATAAACTGCCTGAACAGAGTGATCCAATTAACAGGCAGGGAAAAAACAAAAAATTAATGTAGTAGTATTATTGAAATATCTAGTGTTTATTATAACAAGACAAAGATTTTTAAAAGCTTTTGCTATTATTGCATTAATGTGATCAATAAAAGAAAGCTTTAGATCGTATAATACGCCCAAATCCTTGACGATATTAACACGACAAAGAACATTGCTACCGATTTCAAAATTGAAACATGTCGGTTCCACCCTGCGTGTAAACGTCATAGTAGTACATTTATTGACATTCAAGTGCATGTTATTTACTTTACACCAGTGATCAATGACATTCAAATCAGCCTGTAACCTTAAACTGTCTTCTAAGCAAAACACGCTATTAAAGATTTTGAGGTACTCACAACGCAAGTCTGTTGTACCATCATTGATAAAAATTAAAAATAATAGAGGACCCAGAACAGAACCTTGGGGCACCCCTGTTGTAGCTAAAACCGCACCAGACATATCCACGGAAGTCCACACATAATTGTCTATCACTGATGTATGAATGAAAGAAAGCTAAGAATCTAGATGTTAAACCGTACTTGGACAACTTCTGCAGTAGAACACCGTGATCCAAACGGTCGAAAGCTTTCGAAAAGTCAGTATAGACTACATCAACTTGCCCGCCTGATGACGGCGTTGCGTGAGAAGTGCAGAGTCAACCCTCTTGACGCCATTTTTTTTGACAAACAGGGTTCTAAAGGTTCTAAAAAAACGTCAAACCAAAACCAAGGTATTAAAGGCTTAAATATTTTTTAACACATACGATATCGAAAACAGGGGACCTCCAGGCAATTGTGGAGTAAACTCATCCAGACTTATCGCGAAGCTCATATCGTTGCCCTCTTATGCAAACTTATGCAAAATTATAGTTTTTGAAAACCAAACACCCAAAATTCAGTTCAGGGCACGTCAACATTTATATATGTAGTACAGTGTAACAATGTAACAGTCCCTTGATCTGACCCACCAAGAAACATTATAATATGTACTTCCAAAATTGAAGTATTTACAAGAAAAAAAAAACAAGTAAGCAAAGGAGTATATTTCAGTAGTCGTACAAGAGGCTATTGAAATGCCAGAGCATTTATGTTAGAAGGGACTAGGTACGAAAATAAAACAATAAAATGAAGCTTTATTGCAAGGAGGTCACAGCTGAAGCAAAGAGATCGTGCTCGTATGTGCATCGATTCAATATTGATCTTTCCTCCAATCATTTGGATTACGGGATAATCTAAAGTACTTTTCAGACAGCCCTCGTAAAAGTTGTCAAAAATGGTGAATGTGCTACGTATTTTCTAGTAGTACTTTCACCAAATGTTAAATTGAACATTGAACTTTAATTCACCAAATAACAACTAAGAGATATAGAATTTCAAAACAGCAACGATAATAACGCCACAGAACTATTTCTACTAGAAATAAGCTTTTTTTAATTTATAGATAGAATTATTTCCGAAAACTGAAGCAGATCTTGAGCTAGGCACATTTAAATATGAATCTAGGAGGCGATTAGAGTGGCCTTCAGCTTAGGTTTAAATCAGAGTTCCCCAAACCTTTTTGTGTCGTAGACCATTTGCCATGTTTTTCCGTGTTGGGTAGAACCCCTACTTACCTGATATTGATTTCCTGTAAATTTCTAACTGTAGTGAAGTTTAGTGTTAAAAACTTAAAGTAAAAACACATGTTAATTTATACATTTATTAATTGAATTTAAATTAAAACTACTCAAAATAAAATTTTGTTTCTGTTATGTAAAATATACGTAACATTAAATAAACAGGTGTCTGACCAATAAGTGCCCGCATTGGGAATAAGTGCCCGCATTGAAGAAAAAAAATAAGAGGGATAAAATAAAAAAAGTGAAAAATAATAACAAAAAAGTTGTTTACTTAAAATAGTACAATAAGCGAGTTCGTTTATTAATTATAACATAAACGTATGTTCTACAATAATTTCACTGTTAGTTTGATTAAATTCCGCTTCTTATACGTTTAAGTTATCTAAAAATAGGCAAAAAATTAACGAATTTTAGTGTGTACCTATCCTTGAATTTTCAGAATAATTTAAAAAAAATATATTTTCTATAAAGGGGGGTTCTTTAAAAAAATCAATGCGGGCACTTATTCCCAATGCGGGCATTTATTGGTCAGACACCAATAAACATAAAATAAACTATAAATAAAATAACATAAGCAATAAGTCAATATTTTTAGTGAGAAGGATGAACCTGATGCTTTAATAATAAATTATCAACATTTGGCGTCAATTTTGTAAGGGTTAATCTTAAATCTCCTCGGCTAATGATGTCCAGTCTGTTTCTTTTTTTCGTCAGAGATTGGTAACAGTGCTGAACTCCCTTTCCACTAGGTATGACGATGGAAAGGAAAATAAAAATTTCCTCGCTATATTCCATAATACGGTATAAGTAACGGGTATGTTGTTTTGCAGCCAGAATTGCTGATATCCGTTTTTAAACTGAACCTTAAGTTCTTCGTTTGTACTTAGTTCACTCAGTTCCTCTTGTATTATGACATTCGTTTCTTCTATGTCGCCATATGGATTAATTATCCACGGTGGTATTACCATAGTCAAAATATCCTCAAACCTAGGTTCAAAATCTGAATAGAGGGCATTTAAATGTTGGACGTAAGTTGAAACGTCGACTTCCTGGCAGCTTGTCTGTGACAAATTGGGGAACTGAGAAAATTCGCCCCGTCCAATATTTTGCTTCATTAGTTTAACTCTGGCAAGAAACGCTGATAAGATGGACTTTGTTTTAATCAAATTTAAACTGTCGCCTTGTAATTGCAGATTAACCATATTAAATTTTATACACAAATCTTTTAAATAGGCGATGTCTGTTTTCCACTTCATTAAATTTTCTTCTAAAATTTTAACTTTAGTATCCAGAAATTCTAAAATAGTCTCAAAAAGTGCAAAAAATCTTGTCAAACATAAGCCTTTCGACAGCCAGCGTACTTCAGTGTGAAGGAGTAATTGATGAAAGTGTTCGTCATTTTCTTCACACAACTGCGCAAATAACCGCGTATTTAACGCGTTGCTTCGGATTCGGTTTATTGCATCAATGACTAAATGAAGTGATTCATGCAATCTAACACTGAAATTTTTAGCAACTAAATGTTGTCGATGGATGACGCAATGTATTGCTAACACCCCTGACACATTTTGTTTTAAATAGCTTATAAATCCACGATAACGTCCAACCATGGCAGGTGCTCCATCTGTAGCTACTGATATTATATTTGATAAAGGAATTGCTTTTTCAATGAAGTAATCCTTCAAAACATGAAATATTGATTCACCTTTAGTGTCGGTTATCAAAGTTCTTGCGAAGAGCAGTTCTTCGCAGATTTCTTGATTCATAATAAAACGAACATATGCCAATAATAATGCTGCATTATCAGGTAAAGTTGACTCGTCCAGTTGTATAGAGAAATGGGTCGTTTGCAAATAATTACATACGAAGCTTTCAACATCAGAACTCATTTCATCAATACGTCTTTCAACAGTATTGTTGCTTAACGAAATTCTTTTAATGATATCAGATGCTGGTTTGTGTAAAACAGTTTTCAAAAACCTCTTCAACGGATGGGAAAATTAACTTCTCTCCGATAGTATGCGGTTTTCCGGATTTTGCTATAAGTAACGAGATATTGTAAGACGCCCGCAAACCATCATCATTTCTTTGTGACGTCGAAGTGAACCTTCTGACCAGTGTAGGTCTCTTCTGAAATTTATCTTTGAGCGTTTGAAAGTATTTCAAATCTTTCTCTGTTTTATCATTGTGGCATCTTCTCAGATGATTTTGCAGTTTAGATGGTTTCATAGCGTCATTGCCCAAAACTTTGTTGCATAAAAGGCACATAGGCGATTGTTTGTCCGGCAATGATGGAATAAAGCCAAACTTCAAATAATCAACACTGTACTGTCTACATTTCTTTTTAGATTCGGACATGGCATCAGTCATCTGTGGGCAAAATTAAATTATTTAAATAAGACAGAAAGTCCAGCAGCTGTATATTAAAAACATTTTTTGATTTTTCCGAAAACATTCCATAATTCGAACATCTTCTTGCAACAATTAGCTCGAATTACGGAGATTGCACTGTAATTATATTACCGATTGCTAAAACTCTCAAAAAGAAACTATTGAGGAGTACTCATGTAATTTTGAATGATTGAATATTTAACTACTAATAAAGTCATGATTGGCGTAATTTATCTATCTTTGCTAACTACGAGTACAAAACTAAAATTTAATAAAAAATAATGTACTTACTTTTCTCCAGCACTCTCAAACAAAATAACACTGACTCACTATAATTTGTGTGATATACTATCTATTTATATTTTTTAAAATATTTTCTTAGCACTTTCCTTTTCAAGGTTCAGGAAACGAATAAACGTATTTGTCCCACATTCGTATTTATAGAGTGGCGAATTGAACAAGTCAGTGCAAGGTAGCGAAGCTCTGAGACTGCGACTCTCAGGTTTTTACAAGTTCAAAATGTATTGCGACCATAAAGCGAATACCAACATCCTACAACTTACACAATTTTATAAACATATATAATAAGTTTTTTACTTCATAGGTACTTTTATAAATAATGTATATGTTTTGATATTATAAGATAGTATGATGTAAGTAAATAGGTACAATCAGTGTATGTGTTGAGATCCACTATCGTGGACCCCCATATTCATTTCATGGACCCCCAATTTTTTTTTTCGCTGACGTAGACCCCTTGCAGGTTGTCATAGACCCCTAGGGGTCGATATAGACCACTTTGGGAATCAATGGTTTAAATTAAAAACGATATACTATGAACAGTTACGTCTCCATTTTTACGCGGCTCCCACGATAACCAAGACCATCTCCTGAGGTAACGGCGGAAACGTCTGTGGGCGCTACTTTAAAAATGGAAAAGATGACTGCGGGCGCGTACCGGGGTAAATTTCCATAATAAGAGTCGGATTACACATTATTCGTCGGATTTTTGTTATTTAAATTACCTGTAATTTCTGGGATCAGAAGCTTCTTAATAATAGAACCCCCAGTTTTTGAGCACTACATTTTTTTATGATAAGGAACCCCTGAAACGTCAAAAACGGAGTATCTGCGCTTGTTATTTTTTCATTTTTTGCCTATAGCGCCGCCGCCACTTGATTGAAACTTCAAAGCTTTGGCAACCTCGTGGAGAAATTTCATAAAAATTCGAGCGGTAACTTCCAAGTTATAGACGGGCAAAGGATTAGCAGAGAGACAGGCGGAAATGAGTGATATAGTTTTTCTTGAATGAGATGTCATATAAGACCTAAAAAACTAAATAAATTTTTTAATTTGTCGAAGTAGCCTAAACGTCAGGAAATCAGTATATCCACCATCATAGGTTTCATTTATTGACTAGTGTAAGATAGATAGGTCAGAGAGACACGTATCAGCAATAGCGATTATGAACACCTATTTGTAAAATGACTTATACACAAGATATTATATGAAATAGGATCGCTAAATTATCTGAATACATCCTTTCTTAGTCCGTACATAAAGCCGCGTCGTTTGGGCTGGGAGCACGAAACAGTAGACAAAATTCGTGCAAAATCCGATTTGTAGAGGTATTCGCGCTTCGAAACTGACGCTTCATTTTTCAATATTCTCGGATGAAATTTTTACAGTGTGCTGAAAACAAAACTCTACAGGGTGCTGTCAAGCCACTTTTTATTTTTTTCCACTAGGCTATTTTTAAAAAAATCTCGAAGTTCAACAAAAAAGTAAGCATTTCAACCCACTATAAATCTTGTGCAAAAACAAAATTTGAAAAAGTACTCTGATAGCACCCTTGGCAATTGTCTTCAGAATATACTGTATGAATTTCATGAAAAAATATTGAAAAATGGAGTCAGCTTCGAAGCAGCTGAATGGCTTGAAACTCGCTGCGTCGGAGCTGCCTTAAGGACCCGTACTCTATGACAATATTACGAAACCATATTTTAGAGGGAATTTTGAGCAGCATATTTTTATTTTTACAGATGCGTTACAACAAGGTGCTTCACAGTTTGAACAACAAGCAGGCAAATTAAAGAGAAAGTTTTGGCTACAAAATTTAAAGGTATGTCTCATAGCGCTTACATTTCTCTCTCTCTAGATTCATTAAGAATATGGATCAGAGCATTATTAAATATAAGCTGCCATTCGGAATGGAAACTGCTGAAATTAAGTAGAATCGTAATAATTAATATCACCCTATCGATGCCTATATGCATTTCTGGGTATTTTGAAAACAAATTTATAAGGAAATTGTGCTTTTCAGTTTTTTGAGAAGTCTGAAAATACTACGAAAACAGTCTATCGAATGTCTTTTCCGCAAATATTTTAGCAAGTCATCATTTTTGGCAATCAGTGTACCATCTATACCACAGGGATGGTTTTATTCACTTTTGTAGCAAAAAGCTGGGAAATTATGAGATAAAAAATATATCAAACAATCTTTATTTCCAATAATATTTAAAGTTGTATTGTGAATAATGTCACATAAAATCGTATCTCTACATTTTCAAAAAAAATCCCACTATACTATAACTATCTAAAACTGTAATGACTCATCGATGTTCACGTGAACATCACTTAACTACCAGTAGTCGGCTGTTCATAGGCGGGGTATGAATGTTTAACATGGGTGAACTAGATTTGTCACATGCTTAATAAAGAGTGGTTTGAAACATATTGTAAGTCAAAAATTTGGGAATTACCTTTATTCATCGTCGCTTCCACTTACATCTGACAGTAATAAACTGTCGCTATCGCTTTCCTCGTTGAAATTGACTATAACTGGCTCTATGATGGTGTCGACGTGGTGGTCAAGCTGCCACATTTTTGTTTCTTCCTTCACAACATGACGGATAGCATTCTGCCAAGCTCCGGGCGTTACTAGCTGTATGGAAGTCTCAAGTAAAACCTTAACGTCTGGTAATTTGAAGGTTGTGTTATGGCGCGCAATATAACCCTTCACTTGAGCCCAGATGAGCTCTATTGGGTTCAGTTTATAGTGGTAGGGCGGTAACCGCAGCACAGTGACACCACATTGACGGGCCATCTCATCAGTCACGTAACTAATGTTCGCAGGTTTGTGCGGTTTAATTTTTTCATACAATTCCGCTTTCACACATGAATCGTCAAACGGGATTCCTTTTTCGCGCAACCATTGCTGCATGTCACTTTTTCGAGATCCCATAGTCGGTACACGTTCGGCTCGACGACTATGGTAGGAAGCATTATCCATGACGATCACAGAGTTGGGCTCAACTCGCTGAAGCACCCCTTGAAACCAGCTCTCGAAGCAGCTGGCATTCATTTCGTCATGGTAATCACCTCCTTTCTTAGAGACGAAAATCAAGTCACACTCTTCTAAAAAGCCACTATCGCTACCAATATGAGTTACGATCAATCTTTGATCTTTCCCTGACGGTCCACGAAGAGCTGTTGACAAACCTTCAATGCTTGCTTGTCGGTTACGCACTACGTTTTTGTCTATCCAGGTTTTTTTAACTGTGTGACCTGCATTTACCCATGTCTCGTCCAAATAATAGATTTTTCTGCTTTGTCGCCTATATTCAATCATTTCGCGTAGGTATTTTCGACGCCAGGCGACTATTTCAGGTCTCTCTATCAATACTGACTTCCGATTACGCGTTTCTTAACGAACATTAATTTCGTGCAGGGATTTGCTCATTACCTCGACGCTCATTTGGGGTATAATTTCATTTTCCTTGATCGCTGCATGTACAGCCTTGAGGGTTGGTATCTCATTCCTAAAGAAGAATGAATGTACGGTTCGCCTTAACGCCATTTTGCTATCGTCATCCAATTTAACGGTCTGTCGTCCCTTCAAATTAAACTTTGGATCAGTAGTAGCTCCAGTTTTCTTCTTTTCATGCACCACCCTGCGAATGGTCCACTCTGGAACGCCTGTCATACTTTCACAACGCGCGAGTGCATCTCCCTGCGACATAGTTCTGTTCAGATAATTGAACACGTTGAGCACGATTTCTTTCGCGTCCCTCTTCAGTGCTTTACGAAGCCGTCTACTTGTTCCCTGGCTTTCAGTACTTCCACTCGTGCCATTTGTACTCTCCATGGTTAAGTATAACCAAAACAGTAACCACAGAAACCACAACAATAACAATCACACAACAATTCTTATAAAAACACACAATATGCGATCGCTCAACGAAACACGTTCCAATGCGTTGCCGACGCCTATGAGTCTGCCGGTCGAGGCGCGTCTTTGATTTCATTGGATCTACCGGCGGAGAACAATCAGCCATTATTTCCATCTCTGTCTGTGCTGTTGACCACCGCAAAGTCACAGAAGCGATATACGTCGTACGCTATACGGCTGTACTGGAGGAAGCCGGGATCGAGCTCTGATCACGTGTTGATCACGCGTATGAGTCATTACAGTTTTAAATAGTTGTAGTATAGGACATATCTCGATTTTCTTATGAATGTCAGTTTCCTTAAGACCCTAATACATTAACCGCGTATTATTATTTTCAGATGATGATAATTATGGGTGTGATCGGCCTTGTAATATTAATCATCATTGTCAGTAAGTAACACATTTCTTTTACATTCTTTCATCATTTTACATCTTCAGTCACTTGTCATGACAACCTACGACATAATACATTAAAAAATAACAGTACAAACCACATATTCAGCAAAAATGATCTATACATACAAAACACCACAAAATTTATAGAAAAAATCATTAAAATTGGTTTCTTCTTTTCCTAGTGAACTTCATGTAACTCTCAATGGGCCAAACAATTCGGTAAATTTGAATGAAATGTGTGTTTTGATGTAAAGGCTTCCTGTCTGTCTGTCTTTCTGTCGTAGCCCCGAAAATCCTCCATCACCGTTGTCAATATCGTTATCATATTTTTATCACGCATTTATTACAAAAATAGCACTCATGTCCAGTCGATTTCAGTACGAATATAGAGTTAGTTGAAAAGTTGAACATTTTATTATTTCAATTGATGTTTCATTGTATATTAAAAGCAAAGTATAAAAACCGAGAAAGCTAAAATGCTATCCTAATAACTAGTTGATGTATTAGCCATTAGATTTTTAAAATGATAATCACAGATCGGGATGAGAACCATTTAATTAAAATACGATATTTTCAGATTATGTTCTTATGCTTGATTTAAAAGTTTTGAAAATATTATAGACCTTTTTGGCTGTTTTCAATTTAAACATAAATGTGTGATAAAAATTGCATGTATATCACTTATTAGATGCATGAGTAATTTAGATTTTAGGTAATTATGTTTACAGTTCACAGACCTGTAGAATGGTTGTGATTTGTGACAATATATCATATACCTACATCAGAACATAAACTGCGGTTTTGTGATTATAGTGCTAGAAGCTAGAGCTAGGATTGTATAGAATACTCGTACATATATTCCTACGTATTTTTGCTATTTTGTTAAAAAGGAAATTCATTTATAATAAAATTAAAATTTGCATTCCAGTACAAGAATAATACTTAAGATTAATTGTGGATTTTGTTTTAAGAAAATAATAAATATACTGTTTTTTAATCGTAATTATAGTATAACAGAGTTAGATTTATAATATCTTATTATACAGGGTTTTCATCATAAATTGACAGTCCCCTTTTATGGGTGAAAGCCCAAGAAGTAAAAGTTATAATAGTTATTATTATGAAATATCTATTATTAACAGAAGAATCTAAAACTGCATAGAGGAGCTCAGATCTTCAGTACCCCTTCTTTAACTATAAATTTCAAGGTCATTTGCGAAGGTATGAGCTGAGATAGCTTGAAATCTAGAATATCCCACTGTGATTGAATTTGGAATCCAAGTCAGCACAATTTTTAGCCCTCTAGCCCAGTATTGTTGTGTATCTGCAGACCATTCACCGAATGTACTTAGCGATATAATCGAAACACTTCTATAAGAAAATTTTCCATTGTTGTTGCTTTTGTACAAGGATAGTAAGTGCTTTCCAGCATGACCTGCATGAAATTGACGTCTCAATGGATAACTACAGACCCTGTATGTATATATGTAGGGTACATTAGCGTGAATATTACTGCGCTACCAACTCTCTGATTCATGTTGTTTTGAACGTTATTAATAGGTTCAATCTCACCAATCAATACCTAAATAAGATGAAAATATTGGAAAGCCAGCCAAAATTTGTTACTCTTTTTCGACGTTTATAGGGTAAAAATATGTGCGTTAGCTTCAATAGCAATATAAAATAGAATAATCGTCTAAAAACAGCATATTGAAGCTGAATAAACGGGCTATCTGATCCATATGATGGCATATCAGAAAAAAATTATTCAAGCTCGTTGACTAAAAAGAAGGAAAAAATCTTGCAAAAAATGTTTTTTGTGCTATAACCGTTGCTCAATCTTTTTTCTGCTAAGAAACCTAAAAACTCGAATCCTAAAGCTCCGAAATGCTACAGGCTATCAAAAATTACCACAAAAATTGGATTTTTTCTTGCCCCTTCATTTTCTTGAGTAGTGTAGTTTATTTGACAGTGACACTGTTTTGAACATCTCTTGAAAGATTCAATTTATGGGATTTTCGAGGTTTTTGCACCATTACCAAAATTTATATTTAACGTAGCTATATTATTAGCTGAAGGCACAACTTACTGATTATAAAGTCGAAATCACGAAAGATGACTTTAGTCTGTAGTAAAGACAAACGACAGCGATTTGTGAATATATTTAATGAAGTTTCTGATATGTTAGACAGAGACAAACAGAATTCTATTGTCTAAACAAACTGTATTGCTAATTTGCATCAGTGTTGCCAGAGCCCACATTGAAAATTCGAAAAACTCCGCTACTTTCCGCTACCCCGGGGGATTATCGTCGGGGGAGGGGGGTTGCGCATCATAAAACAGGGGGCATTTATTATACAGGTTGTGCCAAAAGAGAAAAATAAAAACCAAACAGCGTCATATTAAAAAAATATCATAGGAAATAAAAAAATAAAAAGCATATGACTAAAGGCCATTTCTGTTTTGCATAAAAAAATTGAAGTTTTTGGGTTACTTAAACTTAGTCACTGTCTGTATCAGATTCTTGTTGTTGCATTTGTGTTCTCTCTATACTATATAAATTATTTTTGTATTTTTTAAAATGTTTTTCACCAAACTCGAAGTCTAAGCTGCAACATTTTTATGTATTGTATCCAGTTTGATAAGGATCGCGCACAAAGTTGAAGGTAAAATACGATTCCTTTTCTGTGTTTTGATTATCTCCATATATGAGAATGTCCACTCGACATCTGCATCACCATGTGGCAAATGTTAAAATTATTAGACAAACTTTGGAAATACACTTCACAGGTAGTGTTCTTACCACCTACTACCATGTATACGTATCTCAGTTGAATAAGAATTACCGACCGGTGGTTACCACTGTCGATTGGAAAGATATCTGTATTTAGATCTAGTTACTAACTGCACTCAATTTTTTTTCTGGTAAAAATATCCATCATGTGTATCTAAATTGCAAAATTCCGCTACTTTTAACAAAAAATCCAATTCCGCCGCTACGCCGCTACCACTTGAAAATTCCGCTACCAGTAGCGGCATTCCGCTACTTCTGGCAACACTGATTTGCATGTATCCGACCAAGATAGACGATGTTTTCATGTTGCATGATCGATCATATTTGAAAGATGAATAGTTGGGTTATGTTAAAGCAGGTTATGTTATTTTCGAATAATACTTTGGTCTTTGGTATTCCTGTCTTAAGGTATTCTACTCATAACTGTTTTTTTTTTCAAAACAAAAACTCCCCACTAAAATTATTATTAAGGTATCATTCAAAACCATGAAATAAAATGAAAATAAAAATAATCAGGGAAATAACCTAACTTCGCAAACTGATAATATAAATTTGTTGTCATTATGTTCCTGACATCGTGATTTAATCATCGACGTACGTCCATTGATTACTTCAGTACAATTTAGGGTATGACGTAATAGTCATCTTTCGTGATTATTATTCAAGCTCGTGGACTAAAAAGAAGGAAAAAATCTTGCAAAAAATGTTTTTTGTGCTATCTGTTAGAATTGCGTGAGAACCGTTGCTCAATCTTTTTTCTGCTAAGAAACCTAAAAACTCGAATCCTAAAGCTTCGAAATGCTACAGGCTATCAAAAATTACCACAAAAATTGGATTTTTTCTTGCCCCTTCATTTTCTTGAGTAGTGTAGTTTATTTGACATTGACACTATTTTGAACGTCTCTTGAAAGATTCAATTTATGAGATTTTCGAGATTTTTGCACCATTACCAAAATTTATATTTAACGTAGCTATAGTATTAGCTGAAGGCACAGCTTACTGATTATAAAGTCGAAATCACGAAATATGACGATTACGTTATCACTTTAGTCTGTAGTAAAGACAAACGACAGTGATTTGTGAATATATTCAATGAAGTTTCTGATATGTTAGACAGAGACAAACATAATTTTATTGTCTAAACAAACTGTATTGCTAATTTGCATCAGTGTTGCCAGAGCCCACATTGAAAATTCCGCTACTGATATCGAAAAACTCCGCTACTTTCCGCTACCCCGGGGGATTATCGTCGGGGGAGGGGGGTTACGCATCATAAAACAGGGGGCATTTATTATACAGGTTGTGCCAAAAGAGAAAAACAAAAACCAAACAGCTTCATATTAAAAAAATATCACAGGAAACAAAAAAATAAAAAGCATATGACTAACGGCCATTTCTGTTTTGCATAAAAAAATTGAAGTTTTTGGGTTACTTAAACTTAGTCACTGTCTGTATCAGATTCTTGTTGTTGCATTTCTGTTCTCTCTATACTATATAAATTATTTTTGTATTTTTTAAAATGTTTTTCACCAAACTCGAAGTCTAAGCTGCAACATTTTTATGTATTGTATCCAGTTTGATAAGGATCGCGCACAAAGTTGAAGGTAAAATACGATTCCTTTTCTGTGTTTTGATTATCTCCATATATGAGAATGTCCACTCGACATCTGCATCACCATGTGGCAAATGTTAAAATTATTAGACAAACTTTGGAAATACACTTCACAGGTAGTGTTCTTACCACCTACTACCATGTATACGTGTCTCAGTTGAATAAGAATTACCGACCGGTGGTTACCACTGTCGATTGGAAAGATATCTGTATTTAGATTTAGTTACTAACTGCACTCAATTTTTTTTTCTGGTAAAAATATCCATCATGTGTATCTAAATTGCAACATTCCGCTACTTTTAACAAAAAATCCAATTCCGCCGCTACGCCGCTACCACTTGAAAACTCCGCTACCAGTAGCGGCATTCCGCTACTTCTGGCAACACTGATTTGCATGTATCCGACCAAGATAGACGATGTTTTCATGTTGCATGATCGATCATATTTGAAAGATGAATAGTTAGGTTATGTTAAAGCAGGTTATGTTATTTTCGAATCATACTTTGGTCTTTGGTGTTCCTGTCTTAAGGTATTCTACTCATAACTGTTTTTTTTCAAAACCAAAACTCGCCACTAAAATTATTATTA